AGAAAAAACCCCTCCAAAAAAAAAAAAAAAAAAGACGTTACATGTAATCTACTTAAACATGTTCAATCATATGAATATACTATATACTAGGGGAATAGGCTATTCTAATAACCCTATATTGATTTCTGTTTTAAAGCAAATACTATTACCCTAGTAGAAATAAAGCTTCGGTTGTGTAGGTTTAAATGTTCACTTACAGACCTTTTTCTTTGGGATAGATATCATATCACTTAGGAAGTTTTATATTGTAACAGAAAACCCAGCCTGGAGCAGCCTCAGAGAGTAAGAGGTGTGTGTTCGTTCTCCGGAATGAGGAGTCTGGAAGGGCTGGCCTTAGGCACACCTTGCGTGCTGTCACGAGGGCTCACTCTCTCCCCCAGCTCCCTTCTTACCCTATTTGTTTTGTCCTTGGTTTCACATGCGACTCTGGCACCAAGTAGCCTTGCCCTTTGAACGGTTGGAAAGGCTGAAGATTTTTCATATTTTACTTTCTCCACATCATGTCTCCTTGATTAGATAGTATCCTTGAGTGTCTTCCAGAATGGAAAAAAAAAAAAAAATTTCCAGAAGGCACCATCTTTTGTTTCCCACCCCTTCCTCAGCTCTAAATTCAACGGGGGGCATTCAGGATTATAATTGAGAAGGGTTACATGCCTGTGTTAGTTTGTTATTTTGTTGTTTAACCCAAAATGCCTGAGACTGCATGACTTATAAAGGATAAAGGTTTATTTGGCTCCCAATTTTGGTGGCTGGAAAGTCCAAAGCTATTGGAGCTGGCATCAGGTCAGCCTCTGGTGCTACATCACAGCATGGCTGACAGAAACAGGGAAAGGGTAAGAGAGAGCGAGGGAGAGGAAACAATCCCCACTTCCTCTGTTTGTTCCTCTCACGCTGTAGCTGATTAGATGGTGCCCACCCATGTAGAAGGCGGGTCTTCTTCCCTTAAAGGCCTTACTGCCTCCCAGTGCTATCACACAGGGGACCATGCTTCCAGACCGTGAGCCTTCGGGGTACAAACCTTTATCCAAACTATAGCAGTGTGCTTCTCAGAAGGAAGTCAGCATGCCTGTCCTGGGAGAAGAGGCAGCAGATGCTTCCAGCTGCTGCACAGACTTCTCCAAACTAGGGGAGGGACATGAGAGGAGGAAGAAGGAATGCATTAGGAGTACATTACTTGGACATTTTGTGAAATCACTAAGATAGCCAAAAATCATATGGCGTATTGGCTCTTGTTCTGTGTTTTCCTATAGTATATTCACAAATACTGGTTAAGTAGCGTTAGCTGCTACTACCATTAAAATTGAGGGCGACAAGAAGAATAGCAATTCAGATCTGCATATTGCAGAAAACTTTCATCATATTTCTATGTTTGATGGCCATACCCTCAAGTAGCAGATCTGGAGTTTGAGTTTCACTTCTTTTCATTGCCAAGTACTTCACAAGGTGCTGGCAGTCCTGTGTTGAACAAGACAGAGATGAGTAAACAAACATTACATGCTATGCTGAGTATTAAGTTGTGTGTGTGAGGGACACCTTACCTGGCCTTGTGGGGACAGAGATGGCTTCCTGAGTAGGGGGTAATGTCTATGTTGAGACTGAAAATGAAATAGGGCAGAAATGACCAGGATGATTGGTCCCCTGAGGAGAGCAAA